CCAGTTTGATGGAGAAGATCGTAGAATCATCAAATGTTTTGGGTTGGAAGGGACCCCTAGAGGTCATCTAGTCCAACCCCCTGCAGTGAGCAGGGACACAACTAATCCTGTAAGTGTATGAACATGAACTGTCAGTCAGTCTGAAGTCTGGTTTTTTTACTCTTATATACATAGTGTCTGCAGTTATTCCAAATTATTCTGTTTTTCACTATTTAATATCTTCTTGTACCATTAATTTTTACTACATCCACCCAGCTATTAAACCGTAACAACCTAAAGTCACTATGTCAATAGGACTCTTTGTAGCTTTACTTGCTTGTGAATCAACGTATGGAGACCTGGCGCTGGGGCACCCAACTCTACTTTCTTCAGTACCTAAGCAGTGCAACCCCTCGAGCCCACTCATAACTTTTATTTAGACTATCGACAAGTTTACTGTGTCTCAGTACCCTCCAAGCTGAACACAGTCCTCCAGCATAGCCACGCCAGAGTCATGCAGAGGGACTGTTCCCTCCCCCTGCTTTAGGATATCTCTGCAAGTAACTTTGTATTGCTTTGACTTTTCTGCTGTGCAATGGTTTTTCCAAAAACTTGTCTACCTTGCCCTGTGCTGTAATCCTTTTTTTTTTTTTTTTGTGCTGAATCATTTGTTCCCAAAGTTGCCTCCTTTCTGGGAGTAGGCAACTCCACTTATTTTCCCCAGATACAGTTGCATTTTTTTCCAAGGTGAATCTTGTTTCAAATATTTCTGAGTGTTTCACAACTCTCTGTGGTTTGTTATTTCTCTGGGCTCAAGACTCTGTGAGCCATCATTCAGTTCCCCAGCTAACACCCCTGAGATGCTGGTTATTCCCCTTTAAAGAGGATTCACTGGATGACACCAAGGAGGATATAAATACTAGCATACCCCAACACCGTTCTCAGAAAAGGTGCTGATGCCCTGCTTGTTTCTGAGACGTACTTTAAACTGGGTTTTTAGATTCTCCATGGATTTTGTCATTTGAGATGACCAAAATAATGCATTGGTTGCTTTATCATCCACATTACCTGTGGGGGCACCAATGCCAGACCACGCTTTGTTATTGTGTGCTCCAACGGACAGGCAAGACCAACTGCCAGTGCCCTTTGGCAACATTGCTTTATTTTCCCGCTCCAGAAGGAAGCAGCATGTGCTCGGTCACACCTTCCATTGCACATATTTCTTTGCTCTCTCTTTGCATGGTCCGTGCTTCAGCAATGCCATGTCTGAATGCTCCACTGGCAGCATCCTGGCACACAAGAAGTTGTTCAAGACCGGGAGAAGCGGCAGAAAAAAACATGCTTTGCCATATGTTATCTAGGCCCTAGAGGGACCTGTTCCTCCAAGGGTGGTCTGGTCTGTTTATATCATGCTCCTGAACTCTTCCTGTGGTCAACAGGAAGATCTGGCCAACCTCCTGAGCAATGATCAGCGCTGTAGAGGGCTTACTGGGCAAGGCCACAGCAACCAAGAGAAGGGATTTCACCTTTCTCCCTGCCATACCAGGTACCGACACCATATAAGCCACAGAAGCAATGAGTAGCACAGACCCAAAGGCTCCAGGCAGAGCTCTGCAGCCTGTGCTGAAGCCCACGGTGCTAAGGTATCTCTGCCAGCAGCACCCATGGCTTAGATATGGTGACATACTCTGCCAAAGGCTACTATAAGCCTGCATGGGTAGAAATGAGGGATCAGGTTCTGACTTCCCACTCAAGGTCTCACTTGTGTGTCTAAGTCCAAAGGCTTAATAAAGCCTTTGCATTTAGACTTTATTCACTGGGAGCACTCAACCATCAGCATAAGTGCATCGTAAAATAGACAAAGAGCTGTAATTTGTACCAATGGAGTTTAGCATTTCCTGAGGTTGTTGAGGCAGATTTCCATCACGGGCAATGCTTTAAGATGAGCAAATAGGAGGTTGGTAGGGTCTTTTCTACAGAATTTTGCACCTTCGGCCTTTCCTTCTTGTTGCCTGTAAGAACTCCAGCCTGCATTTGTAAGCACCTCCAGATCAGCAGTATCTAGGCCACTAAAACCCAGCCTGAATCTGAAAGGCATAATGTGCTTGCAGCACCCATTCAATTTGCAGCACCCATTCAAATATCTAAAAATTAAGCCAGCTTTACCAAGGCAGTTGCGAATCTTAGCCACTGAATTCAGTCAGGTAGGTTTCCAGTCCAATGCTCCCAGCAGCTCTGTTGTATCCTTTGGAAAAATTTCATGTTTCTGCACTTCTGCAGGACCTCAGGCTCCCAATCCAAATTCCTGTCTCTGCGACCTAACACAAGCCCTTCAAAGCCCTCAAAGATGGGCTCCTCCTTTGTATGTCCTGTTCATCCACACAGAAGCATGGGTGTGGGTGTCAGCAGGA